CAGGAATGCTAGAAGTCAGCATATTCAGAATAAATGCAACACGGAATCTTCAGTCTTATTATCAAGGGGACAGCTGCTTTTCAGCAAGGATGGTTTTGTCACTTAAAAACAAACTATCACGAGTGGGTTGTTTTTTTTTTTCCACGTAAGGGTAGAAATTGATTAGTTTGGCAGCACTGTTGTTCAACTTGGTTTTGTCTTTCTAATGGTGGCTGGTAGTAGAAGCAGGTCCACAGAAGAAACATAAAAGTTTATCTGTTGTCTTCTCTTCTGCTCTTTCCAGCCCTGTTACCAGTCATTTTAATAAATAGTTTAGGAAGGGCTTTCTGGCTCTTTATAAAGACAGCACAGATAAGCCTGATGGTCTGCTTTTAGGCAATTTTTTTCAAAATACGTGTCTTAATGCTTCTGGGTTTGGTTTTGGTTTTTTCCATTTGTTAAAAACCTTTACAGCTCTTGTGTGACACAAAATACACTGAATGCAGTGAAGTAATCAGATGTAGTATTGTGAGTTTTAACTGTTACAAATATTTGGGTACAAAATCACTTTAAAAGCTGAAGTGTTTTTTTCAGATGGTGAAAGACCTAGGAAGATATTTTAGGTTAAGAGAGTAATTAAATTTACTTATAATACAATTGTATTTTTGGTGAATCTTGCAGTAGCTGTTGCGTGGTGTTGGCTAGGAGGGTTGCAATCACACCCCAGAAGATGAATGTTTGAGAGGAAGCGGTCGCACAGCGCTTGTCGTGTTGCACCATTCCCAACTTGAGCATTTTCTCTGTGAAGCCTCTAACTAACCTTTCTTATGAAGAAGTAATGGGGTAGAGTTAGATGGTTTCCTTCAGCAGTTCAGGCAAGTATTAGAGTAGCTGATGTTTAGGCAAGAAACTGCAAGGAAGGTTGTTTTGCATTGTAGCTGCATTGCAAGTGTTGAGGTTTTTTCTGTTTCCAAAGTAATGTGGTGAATGGAGGCAGAAGGACGGGTGCTGGAGGCCGTAGCTTTTTCTCTATGACCACGGCTCAGTGCTGTCCCCTCCTGTGTTGTGCGGGCTCGGCTGCAGCTACAGAGCATCTGTTTCCCCCAGTTTGTGTTCTGAAACGATTGAGATACGACTTAAAACTGTTCTTCAGACAAAGCACTGCACCTTCAGGGAAGCATGATTGCTTTTTATAAAATCTTGGTATACTTCGTAGTTCTGGCATGTCCACTCGATTTCTGAGCAAGTGCTATGTTATCTGTAAGCATAAAACTAGCTACATAAACCACCTTTTTTGACAAGACCTGAAAAACCTTTCATCTTATGCTTCCAGAGTGCAGTGCAAGATCATACCCCTTCCACAGCCATCTCAATTACTGTCCTGTCCCCACATATGTATTTTTTCATTCTTTTTAGTGATTTTGTGTGTGTGTGATTTCACAAGTATTCTAAGACTTGCAAGTGAAAATTGTTTCAGTGAAGCAAAAGTGACTCTGTTATTCCATCTTGAACTTTATGGTTTGCCTTCTGCAGTCGTAATTCTATAGGTATTAAAGAGGCTGGTTTTGCATCCCACTAGTCTGTGTACACGAGACTGCCACTGCGTACCACTATGCTTATTTACTTAGAAGGGTTTGTGTGGAGCTGTCTCCAAAGGAAGTTAGACACTACATACGGGAGTTTGGAGGAAGGAGTAATGGACTGGAAGATTAGAGGAGAATGTAGTGATGTCAGCTGGAATAGGAAGGTGATGCTAGAAGTTGCAAGATGCTCTTTCTTTAAAAGAGAGTGTGGGATTTTTTTATGACAGTTGACCACTTCCTCTGTTTTGCTTGTGAACTGAAAGCAGCCAGCAGCTCTTCAGATCTCCTCATGAATCAGGAAGCACTGGTTCTCTGGAGTGCCATTTTAGGAATTCCCAAACTTGCTCTTGATCGCTTTTAAGGACTGATCCAGACCAACCTTCTGTAGCCTGACAGGTGTGATGCGAATTGTTTACAGTGCAGTAACTCCACTGGTCGTTCCTTTTGTGGGTGTGTGCACATCTATTTTAATTGAAATACTTCCTACAAGTCTTGCCTTATGAGTGCTAGGACAAGATTTTGGGAAGTTAGATGAGCAACCCGGTCTAGTGGAAAGTGTCGCAGTCCATGGCAGGGGGGTTAGAACTAGATCATCTTCAAGGTCCCTTCCAACGCTGACCATTCTATGATGCTGTAAATTCTACATGTCTTCTCCAAGGCATAAAGAGGTCCGTTTAAGTCAGCCTGTGGCACTATATGTTGTTCAGCGTTGTGTATCTGCGAACTCTCCACTGAGTTCAGCTATGTCCACAGAAGTGAAATGGTCGCTGCCCTGGCATAACCTGTGTGTTCTGCTCTTGACTGCATCTCCCTGTGGAAGGGATCTTGCCTCTACAACCTTTTAGACTTCAAATTTAAATTGCTGACCTGCAAGGCCTTTTTTACTGGGTTTCAGCTCCCTAATAGTTTGTGTACATTTGCGTCCATGTGTTAGGGTCCTAGTAAGTCCTTTGTGTAGACCGTAACAGGGGAGTCTCTGCCACTGAGGGTTTATGGTCTGATGAAGATTACACTTGTCAGTGAGCATTTGTGAAAATAAAGAACTTGAGGATTTGGAAGGATGTAATTTCCTTTGCTGCTTACCAGGATCTGACTTAATTTTCGTTCTCAAACTCTGCTTGAGTTAAGATTAAGACTATGGACAGCTACAGGAGGGCTTAAAACGTTTAAATAATACAGTTGGTGATTGAAATGTTAATGCAGAATGGCTTTGGAAAGGGATTCGGTTTCGTGAGTGGACCCTGAGCTCTTCCTCCCGCCTACGGCTCCTCTGGTGGGGTGGAATGTCGCCCTGACCCCTTCCCATTGGCCTGGCATGTTTGTCCAGGTGTCTGCCTCTTCCATAAAAGACGGGGATCGCTGGACCTGGTACGCATTCGGCAAGCACTGCAGCAAAGGAAAATGACACAACGTGTTTGGTTGGTTGTTTTACTTTTGTGTCTCGGATTAATGTGTCCTCTTGTAACTGGAATTTTTATGGACAAGCTTGCCAGCAAGAAGCTGTGTGCTGATGATAACTGTGTCTGTAAGTAATTTTGTTTTAATTTTGAGAATGGAGTCTCAAAAATGCAGGTTTTGATTTTGGATGTGTGATGGAAAACTGCTATGCTTATTTAGCTCTGTTATATTTGCGTTGGTTTGTCAACTCTAAAAGCAGAGTGGGAGGGTTTATGTGGAATGTCACATGCAGTTTTAATGCAAAAAGGGTTTTGTAAGGGACATTTTTCACTCAAGTGAAAGGTAAGTGCAGAGAGAAGGATTATAACTTCCACTGTGATGAAATGGCACGTTCTTAAGCCGTTACGTTGCATACTGGAGAGTAATAAAATGAGCAGGACATATTCTTGAAGACTTTATTAAGTTCAGGATAACCTACTTTTGTCTGTAGAAATAGTTGTACATGCGTGCATACACACACACACATATATTTCTCTCTGTATAAGTATATATGTATTTAAATTCATTCACCTCGTTCTTTTTTTTTTCTAGACACCATTTCCCTCGCCAGAGCAGAAGAGGATTATAATGCTCCAGACTGCAGATTCATTAATATCAAAAAAGGAGAGTTGATTTATGTTTACTCAAAACTAGTGAAAGAAAACGACTCTGGAGAATTCTGGGCTGGAAGTGTAAGAGGAGATTCTTGTGAATATAAGCAAACCAAAAGTAGATTAACACGCATTTCTGTCAAGCAATGGATGCTAATGCTGAGCTACTGTGGGTTTTAAAGCAGCAACTTAGTTTTCGAAGTGAATGTTTAAACTTAAACTGATTGAGGAGTCTTGGGGTTTTAATATTTATTTTTTTGTTTTATGAAATAACTTCAATAACTATATGGTAATTATGAACTGAACCGTAATGGAAGGGCTTGACAGTTCTTTTCTGTGGCTGCTTGCTGAAACTATGGAGGAGAAAGCTTTTATTGCAGTTGGTCATAAACCCCTTAAATTTAGGGGAAGCAAAGATAAGTATTAGCTGCATTTCTAAAGAAAAATATCCAGATAAACTATAGGTGGTATTCATTTATGCCAAAAAATGTATGCCTGTATCAAAACTTGTGTTAATGGTTTGTTTCATGCGCCAGCTAATTGGAAGCTAGGAAATGTAAAACCAGAGAGAGAAACACTATTAGTAGCTGCTTTTGACTAAATTGTGAACTAGCTCAAACCAGATGAGGACTGTTTTAAGGTATCTAATTATACATCTCCATGCTTGAAGGTTTATGGACGACAGTATGAAGACCATATGGGGACAGTTGGTTATTTCCCTAGCAGTTTAGTCTCAGAACAACACGTCTATCAAGAAGCAAATAAGACTCTTCCTACAACGGTAAGGAATTTGCAAAAGCCCAGCTGGCTACATAATTATACTTGGCTGTGTAATGCTAATTTGCTGTAAAAACAAATCATAATTGTGGCAGTTGATTGTAGCATATCACAGATGCTTAGGGATCCAATCTTTGGGCCTTTATACAGGCAAATAGCCTCAATAAAATCCCTAACATAAGCTCTGATATTGCAGACATTGCAAATGCTGCATTAAGGGCTTGATCCTATTAGAGTTCCTATTGATTTGAATGGTATTCCTTCAAGGCCACAAAAGTTTTACCCAAAGCTTTCTTTTCTTTAGAGTCTGAATATTGTGCTGCGTGCTTTAGTAACGTGTACAAGTGTGCTTTCTGTTAATCGTAGGTGGACACTGTCATACAGAACTTCTGATTTACTGAAAGCAGGCTTGCTTTCTCATAACAAAGTTACTGGTATGTCAAAAAGCTGAATGAAAAAGCTTTTGGAAACACATTAGTGTTGTGTAAGTGGGCTATATTTCTGAATGGGTGATCGTCCCTGATTATGTAGTGTCTCGCACACCAGACAACTCGTAATTTTATTGAAGAACTGAAACACTTTGCAGAGGAGTGGAAAAAGAGGGTCTTTTCTCAGAGGCTGGTATGGTTTGGTTTACAACTAATGCTTTCTGGTAGCTTATTTCTATGCTTAAAACAAATTGAGTGGGAGGTTTACAATAATTACCTTCATCAATATTAAATATTTAGCTATAAGCCGTTTTGAATACAACAAATTAGTGCAAAAATACAAAAAAGTACAAAATACAACAATTAGTGCTTTAATCTTGAAATCGTATATGGAGTTTTTAATCCTAGGTCCAGATTACTAGATGGGTTTCATTAACACAGAGGGAATAAGTGAAAGGAAGAATTTAGTTTCATGTTAATAGTTAAGAGGATTTGTGTTATAATGTGTCAGACAAGCTTTATTTGAGGAAGTGCGAATCTTGGATAAGTGATTGCTTTTCTTGACATTACATAAGGTTGTTCTGAATTTGCCCCAGAAGCATTGCAGCAATTAATTAGTCACAGAACATGTACGAATGACTAAAATACATGTCTAAGCTCTTTTCTCAACAATATGACAGGCAGCCTGCTGCACGGCAAGCTGAACTGGAAGCAGAGGTAGGTTAAAGCCGTGTTTTATCCTGCAGGCTGACTTGGGGTCCAGAATGGGCTGTTGTTAGGCGGCAATGCAGAACTTTAATTGGAAAGTAATTTTCTTTTGTAAAACTAGCGACACAGACTTTCACAGTTTTCTCACCCTTACTTCACATTCTTGCTACGCAGGAGCTTTGCAACGAAAATGAAGGGCGATACAGATATGTTCTTTTCCTTGTTCTACCACTCTCAACTACGCAGCAAATGTGACCTTAAGGATCTTGCTCTTTCTAAATTCACATTTAAAATGGTCTACAATGCATCTTGACCAACCTGCATATGGGCTTGCTCCAGAAACATCCCGTTAGGGTGCTGTTTTATACAGAGCGAGTGTGGCATGCTGTCATAGACGCCTCCAATGCCACCAGCCCTCCATCGGCAAGTCAGAAGCTGGTTCTCTTGCTTGCAGCTCTGTAACCTTCCCCCAAGCCGCTCGCAGTGCTTTTACCTTGCTTTCCTGGCCTTGCACCTGCAAAGCCCAATGTTGGCATTACAATGGGTTCTCTTGGGAAGGGGCTGCCATTTATCTTAGGGGACCTGATGATGCCCAAAGCTGAATGGTTAATCAGCATGGAGCAGCCGGGTGGCACACACAAATGGCACTGCATGGAGGAACAACTTATAGGGAGCTTGATGGGGACAAGTATTATGGGGGGGTACCTGCTGCACTGAAGAAGCAGGTGCCCCCCTGAGAAGTCTGAAAGAGGGAATCAGCTTGGGGGCCTCTATGTTGCTGACCCTCCTTTTATTTCTTTTTCCCGAAAAAAGTAACTTTCACTGTTGGAGTCAGTGTATGCCATCAGCTACAGACCCTGCTAATAAATGTTTCTGCCTGTGAACTTCTCTCAGTATCATTTTGTGCAGCTCTGGGTAATCCACGGCTGTTGGTTGCTGTTTGAGCAATAAATCTGAAGGGATTTTTTTTTTTTCCTCCCTCAGTACTGCTACTTCTGAACCATTGAATCACACTGAATACAATAGACTCTGTGTACTACAGAGCAGTTTTGGATTGCCTGCATTCCCTCGATCACTTAAAACTGGCCATTTGCTGGCTAAGATGAGAGTATTTTCATTACCAGTAAGCATCTGTTCCGAAACGGCTCCCTCTCTTCTGCTTCCAGTGGACAGCTATCTGTGATACGCTGGTCTAATGCAGATGTCATACATTTTGAGCACCACAGTGTGATAATTCCCTGCAGCAGAATCGAGATCTACATAGCTGTATAAAATAATAGCAGGAAGTTAGATGAAAGCAATATGCTGTGGAAGTCTAGCCCCTGCTGGAAGTTTCCAAGCAAAATGCTGGCATTTATTTTCTAGTCACATTTTTCTATAGCAAGCTTATCGCATAGCCTCAGTCTGTTCAAGGCATCCTGTTCTTGTGTGGTTAGGAACTGTTTAAGGATAAAGGGTTACATATAACTAATACATGCAGGTATGGATGTGGGAATACGAAACAAAAAAGGGAGATAAAGCAATCAGTTCAAAAGAAGACAGAAAGTGGTATTGCCTAATTCACTTTAAAAATTTATGGCAGGAACAAACCATCCCAGCTATGCAAAAGAAGTCAAAGACCTTTTTCTTTTCCAGAATACTTTGAGTATATTATGGTGTACTTTGAGTATATTATAGTGTATTCTGTGTTTGCATTTACTCATGTACCTTTGGGGGGGGTGATAAAGGAACATTAATCCTTTGGTAATCTCAAAACATCTTCCCTCTTGACTTGCTTTTTCAGGACATTGATTTCTTCTGTGAATAGTGCTGAAAGTGGTCAGGTAATCTCTCGGCTGCTACCAGGGAAAGCTGGACACCCTCCCTGAACACACAGCCCTTTCTGTAACAGATGTTTGTGAAACACATAATTCTTCTTCAAAACAAGGAAGTTTTCATTTAAAGGGAGCGATTTGTTTTTAGAAGTTGTTTTTTTTTTTTTTACCTGCATCTATTTCATTATTTGTTAATGAAGCTAATAGCCTTTGAATTGCTGTAAGTCTGTGTGGTATAAATATGCTGTGTATGGGATTAGATGTGTGATCTTAACCTGCATTTTCCTGTCATAACCTCACACCGTGTATTGGATATTAAAAATACCTTCCTTGGGTGAGCCGTATGTCACTGGCTGGAATAAATCGTTTTTGTTGCAAGAGCTAGCCAACAACTGAGAAAGCGCCAGTAACTAAATACAGGCATCAAAAAGAGTATTTCACCTGTTGGCTGTGCTGGTACGGAGCACGTTCAGGCTGAAGCCGTGGCCCAGAGCCGCAGGAGGAGGGGGCAAGGCTGGGGACTGTGCCTGCCCTGGGTCCCCCCGGCCTGGAGGGAGCACGGTGCTCTGTTGCTCCCCGGAGCGCTGGTACAGAAGACGTTTTGCCTCTGCTAAATATTCAAAGTATGAGAATTGGAGGAGGTATCCTGCGGATGCCCCTCTGCCAGCTGCCAGTGCTGGGACGCCTGTTGGCAGCCTCGCCCGTGGAATCGGGGGAAAAAAGCGAGAAATTTTACCTTTTTTTTTTTTTTTTTTTTTTTTTAAAAATGAAA